CAGCTTCTAGCTGCACAGGTTGCTCCGCGTACTACAGTTGTACTACAAAATCGCCAGTTCTCAGCCTCCAGCTCCCCAGTCACTCCGCGTACTAAAGTTGTACTACACAGTCGCCAGTTCTCAGCGTCCAGCTCCAAAGGTTTCTCCGCGCACTAAAGTTGTACTACAAAGTCGCCAGTTCTCAGCTTCCAGCTCTACAGATTGCTCCCCGTACTAAAGTTGTACTAGAAAGTCGCCAGTTCTCAGCTTCCAGCTCTACAGATTGCTCCGCGTACTAAAGTTGTACTAAAAAGTTGCCAGTTCTCAGCTTCCAGCTCTACAGATTGCTCCGTGTACTAAAGTTGTACTAAAAAGTCGGCAGTTCTCAGCTTCCAGCTCCACAGATACTCCGCGTACTAAAGTTGTACTACAAAGTCGCCAGTTCTCATCGTCCACAGCTTCCAGCTCCCCGGATGCTGTGCCTGCCACGAAATCTGCACATGGAGGTTCACAAAGTGCTGTGCCACGAAATCTGCACATGGAGGTTCACAAAGTGCTGTGCCTGCGAAGAAATCTACACATGGAGGTGCACAAAGTGCTGTGCCTGCCACGAAATCTGCACATGGAGGTTCACAAAGTGCTGCGCCTGCCACGAAATCTGCACATGGAGGTTCACAAAGTGCTGTACCTGCCAGGAAATCTGCACGTAGAGGTTCACAAAGTGCTGCACCTGCCACAAAATCTGCACATGGAGGTGCACAAAGTGCTGTGCCTGCCACGAAATCTGCACAGGGAGGTTCACAAAATGCTGCACCTGCCACGAAATCTGCGCATGGAGGTTCCCAAAGTGCTGTGCCTGCCAGGAAATCTGCACATGGAGGTACACAAAGTGCTGCACTTGCCACGAAATCTGCACATGGAGGTCACAAAGTGCTGTGCTTGCCAGGAAATCTGCACATGGAGGTACACAAAGTGCTGCACCTGTTACGAAATCTGCACATACTCTGCACATGGAGGTTCCCAAAGTGCTGTGCCTGCCAGGAAATCTGCACATGGAGGTACACAAAGTGCTGCACCTGCCACGAAATCTGCACATGGAGGTTCACAAAGTGCTGCGCTTGCCAGGAAATCTGCACATGGAGGTACACAAAGTGCTGCGCCTGCCACGAAATCTGCACATGGAGGTTCACAAAGTGCTGCACCTGCCAAGAATTCTTCACTTCAAGAAACAAGTGAAAACTCTAATCCCAATGGACGGACGATTCCGAGAATGATCCGAGCATGACCCGAGACCGTCTCGCAACCGTCGTTCCGCAGACCTTGACTTGCCAGCTTCGGAGCCACCGGTTCCATTGAAAAATACAGCATTTCGTGCCTTCGCTATCTCTCCACTACGCATTTTGTATTGCACCTGCCACGACATCTGCACATGGAGGTGCACAAAGTGCTGTGCCTGCCACGAAATCTGCACATGGAGGTTCACAAAGTGCTGCACCTACCACGACATCTGCACATGGAGGTTCACAAAGTGCTGCACCTGCCACGAAATCTGCACATGGAGGTTCACAAAGTGCTGCACCTGCCACGAAATCTGCACCTGGAGCTGGAGTTGCCTGGAGCTTGAGCTGTTGAAACCAGAGCTGGTGTATGAGCGGTGTATGATGACTGGTGTATGATGAGTAGTGTATGATGAGTGGTGTATGATGAGTGGTGTATGATGAGTGGTGTATGATGAGTGGTGTATGATGAGTGGTGTGTGATGAGTGGTGTATGATGAGTGGTGTATGATGAGTGGTGGTCCAGTGGTTGAACAGCTGTTGAATGTCCGTAACACGGAAGTTTTGCACACTAAACTTCCTTTGATAATATATATATATATATACATGTATGTATGTACATGCATGAAGAAAGTTATAAAGTAGACAAGTTAGCAGTGTCGTGGCGGAAGTATGGGGAGAGGTCTATGGTGGAAGACAAGCAGGAAAGAAGGCACTGCTACCAGGGATTTACACTCCGACTCACTAACATGGAAGTGGAGAATGGCCTGTTTGTGAAAAGAAAATCGTCTTCGTGGGCCCATTTTCCACTTTCATGTTAGCGAGTCAGGCTGTCCCACAAGTGTTCGAAGGCCCGCGGCTTGCGAGGTGCGTCAAGCGAGTTGTGGAAGTTGATGGCAACTATGCCAACCGAAAGGTCGGTGAGGCCGCGGGCTTTTCTTTGAAGTTACTAGTAACAAGGGCACGGCTACTAGTAGCCTGCTCTCGGTCGGATGGCCCGCACTGGCTTTCGGGTCTCTGGGAGCCTCTGGAGCTCGGCTTGGTGCAAGGACAAGCCCGACAAAGCCGGCACGAATTTTCCTGAGAACAAGGCCAGCGCGCGATCGAAGCGTGACACCATGTGACACTATGCAAATGCAGCGCACTCAGCTCAAAAAGCAACAAAGAAACCATGTGACCAACCACACAGTTATGGACTATGGTCATCATTTCTGCAAACATGGGGTGATGACTCGTAAAACGTAAATGGAGATGATGCCCCAAGGAAGAGAAGTTAGACATCTCAGCGCCGGCACAGGTCTACCGTGGTGTTTGCTCCAACCACATTTGTGACATGAGCCCAGGCCGGGCTCATTTCGTGCGCTTGGATTGGAAGTAATTAGGTGATATGTTACTGTACTACGATATATTGATGTACATATATGTATATATAATATACATATATTTATAGTGTATACATTTAGCAATTAGGAATTACTCGGCCCCTCGCAGCTGTGTTCATGTTTGGCAGAGATTTCCTCGTTGGTCAGGCGATGAGGTCCTCATCACCGGTCCAACTGGTGCCGAGATGCTTCTGCCGAGACTCAGACCTGCTCGCTTTTTGTGAGACCTGTGAATGTTCTACAAGCGCGGAATTTATTTTTGAGTCCTACAATTCTCCACCTTTGACAAAAGCCTGCACATGTTCATTCTGACGGCTCTTGGCCGTAGCTGAAACATCCGGAAGCATTGTTCTGACATGTTCTGACTAATGCTTGACGGTCCTTCGGCCCCGTGTCGCCTTTCGTGGAACGCGCTTTGGTCGACTCAAAGCGACTTTCGGAATGCTCCCACTTTAACATTGGCGAGTGATAATTGTGTGCATGTAGCAACTAGGCGCCCATACAAAGCTCCCATTGATGATGATCAGATCGTGCACCATGTGCCTGCCTGACACACCAATATTGGATCTCGGAGCAGTCTTCGTCCATTCTGGGCTACTTCACAGCTTGGCTGCGCAGTCCGAACTTGTTAACAAAAACCAATGTTTTCCTTCGCTTCAGGAACGGGTCAGGTTGCATTCAGATGACCGAACGGTTGGTTGCCTGCGTGGCGCGCTGGGCCCTCTTGGCCTCAGGGATCCAGTCGACCGGACCCGATTTGGTGATCCCCCATGCAGCTATATCCTCCTTCCAAATGGCTTAGGGAAGTCATGGGAAATCATGGCGCAAGCTGTTTTAAGTCTGTCAGCCGTACTTCAAGCACGCGATGCAGTTTGCAGTGCTAGCTTGGGCAGCGTGGGGCCATGGCACAGGTTGGGCAAATTCAGAAGGTTTCGTGAGTTTCTCCTTTCTGGTTTGGTTGAGAAATCAGCCTCAATCAACCAGCCAGCAGCTATAGGGCAGTTCTCACTTGTTGTCGCAATCATGCCTATGATGCAGACTGTGGCTGCCCAACTCAAGCCGTACTGCGGAGACATCCCTCACATTGCATGGCATTTTGATGCATCCTTTTGGGGATTCCAAGAGCACCGGACTCTCCAGCCAGGTGCTGGTCTTTGTGCAATCACGTTCTTTTGTTTTGGCACGTCCGAGTCTGAATCTCCAAACCCATGGTGTTCTTTTACACATCCATCGAAGCACTGCTTCAAGGTCCAAGGCAACGCGTCCCATGTCAGGAAGCTGCTCCTCCTTTAAGCTTCCACGTCGGATGCACACATCCCTCATGTTTGCGAGTGTCACAAGTACCGCATGGGATGGCAGGTTGTGTGACAAGACTGCCCACTGATGGCAATATATGTCAAGACCTTCCATCGCGTGCCAGTGACATGTGCATGGATTGTGAGATTAACACTCACATCTTTTGTCAATTGTATTTTGTTAATTGTCTCGTTGGTGCTGCGCCTGATATTCAGGCCTGAAGATCCAGAGGCAAACATCATCATGCTTGCTACAGGCCAAGCCCCAAAATTGATCAGCATTTGGGGGGATTTGTTTGCATTCATGCTGCATATTCCCCTCGGAACTATTGGTTCAAATCCAAAACGACTGCTTTTGGCCGATACCTATCTAGAGTGCCATATGGGAATTGAGACAAGAGTTCTCAAAGGGGCATATTATGTTTACAGCATTGTGCCACATGCGAATGGAAGAAGTTCAAGTTCGGAAGCGTCAGACGTTTGGAGCCTCGTTTTGGGCACCAGGGACTGGCATTGCGCCGATGCGATCCTACTTGCGCTTGCTGTTCAATGATAAAGCTGGCGCACAACAGGCAGCTTAACGCAAATGCGTAAAACGACATCAGTCAGGGAGGGCCATGGCATGAAGCTCCCACAATGAGGTACAATGACTAATGAGGTACAGTATGCGGTATAATTAGTCAGGAATATCAATGTGGATTCAAGGTTCCAAGTCACTTGTGCAGCACAGGAACTTCTGGAAGGCCAAGATAGTCTTGCACGCAAATTTCCACTTGCAGACGTGTAAGCACTTGTTGAAAGGAAACACCTTCTGCAAGAAGAGCAGGAGATAGTGTCGGGGAGTGTACTAATGCCTTGGATAGTCTTGCTTGGGAAACTGGTTTCCAAAGATGTGCTGCTGAGCCTCTTCAGAGCTCATATCCTGAAGCTAGAGCAAGACCCTCCATTTGGTGATATTTGATGCCTTGTCGTGCTCAGGGTCTGAAAGCCAAAGTTGGCAGCTTGCTCGGAAAGCCAGCGGCGTAGCTGCAAATCATAAGAGCTACTCGAGCTACTGAAGTTTCCAATTGTCGCTTGTTGCCCAAGCGGACGCTGATGGGCACTTGCTTGCAGGCAGCTCGGAAGTTCAAAGGCCTGGCATGGCTCTTCATGGGGGTGCCATACTCGAAGTCTTTGCTTTACGATGATGTCACTTGGCAAACATCGACACTTGAGTCTTCCTCGATGTCTCGATTTTCTGTTGTGCAAGAAATTGAAACAACGGACCAAACTAGCCGAAGTTGTCTCCGACATGGTGGTGAACCGAGGAGCACAAGGTGTACAAGGAGAAGTTCCCCGACAACTTCCGATATGACTATGCTGTGAGCCGTGAGGACAAGAATGAAGCAGGGCAGAAGATGCACCTTCTCTGCAGAGACTTTGGAGTTTGTCAACCATGAAGCCTTGTTTTTGTGCTGCTGCTCGTTCCCTAAACATGTTGGAGTCATTTGGAGTCTATTGTTTCTGACATTCCGCTTGATATCCAGCAAAAAGTGGTAAGAAGCACTTCCGAGCATTCCACCTTCCCACAGCCAAGGTACATCCAAACCAAGATGGCAGAGTATGCGGATGCTTACCTACGACATCGCGGTGCTGCGAAGCGGTGCGTGACCGCACACGAAAGCGAGAATGTTTGGCAACAAAGTTTGTGCTGGGAATGGGAAGATGCCTCGCCTGGTTGGTACCAAAGAATGGGAAATGTGTCACTAAACAGCAGCACTATGGTTCCTTGCCTAGGATGAGCTGTGGGAGCTGATGCAAAACGAGAAGACCCACGTCTACATGTGTGGCCTTAAAGGTTGGATTCTTTTCATGGGTAGATTACACATGGACCTAAAATCACTGAGGAAAGGTAAATACATTACAATATGATGAGACGGTAGGCAGAAATCCTTGCAATATTCATGGCCAATTGTTCAAGAGGTATCACGAAGGCGTGTGCTAGATGCCGATGTTGTTCCACCTGATTCTTTTGCCATGACACACAGCAGTTGAGCTATGCTGTGGTGCTTGAGTGATTTGTTTTTGGGCTCGCGGAGTTTGCGCTGACTTGCTTTTGTTTATGCTGGGGCAAACTGTTTTTCATGAGGTCACGGCGCTTTCATTTCATGTGACAGGTGCAAGTGCTTCTTATCAGTTGTGTTGTGTGTGAGAGTTCCACAGGCATGGAAAGCGGCATGGCTGAATGCTTTGGGCCAATCGCAGAGAAGAACGGCAAGGCGTGGGGGACTGCCACTTAGGGCAGGTTTTGGAGTCTTGTGGATGCGTCTCAGTCAACATGTTTGAGTCTTGTGATGTGGAAGGTGTGGGCTGAATTTGCGAAGGCCATGAAGAAGGCCTGCATGCTTCTAAGGAGTTTGATGGCACCCACATTTCTAGCAAGGAACTGCGCAAAAGTTCCTTATAAGTACTTGAGTATACATCAGCAGTGTCGACCAAAGCTTGATGCCCCGGACATCGATGCAGGCTCCTGTGTCATAGCCCTGGAGATTGTTTAAAACATGGGTGGCTACGGTCACTAGTAGTAAGGCCAGGAGCCCCTAGTAGCTTCTTGTTCCTAGTAGCGATGCCACGAGCCCCTAGTAGTGTCCTTGCTCCTACCCCTCGCCATGTGAATGTCCAAACATGGGTGGCTACCGTCACTTGCTTACCAGGCTGACCGCTACCATGTGGAGGTCTACTGAGAGGTCCTCCAACAAAGCAACCCAATTTCAGAGACAGCCAGGGCACATCACACCTCGTTTTCATAGTAAATGTGTCAGCTCCTTTCTGTCTGCGAAGCGGATTCATGCGGCAATTTTTGGGCTGAGAAGGCTTTTTAACACAGCAAGATCAGCAAGAAGCAGACAGGCCAGGTGGGAATACAGTATTACAGTGCGATGGCGCTGCAGTGTGAGGCCTTCTTATCCTTCAAGCATCCAAACAAATTGGGTGCATTTTTTCACTATGGAATGACTGAATGACTAGCAGCCAGTGCGGCCGCTAGTTTCAGACAGCTTTGCGGCCAAGGTCAGCTTTTCTGGTTTGCAACAATGGAAAAATGGGTATGAGCTTGCATGTCTGTTTGGCCCGGCTCTCGTTCTACGTAGATGCTTAGTTTATGTTGGAATCTGGAAACCAAACAATTCTTAATTCAAGTGATCCACGATCAATGTTTTTGTACACTGTGGATTCACACTGCCTAGGCTAGATTTGCGCTGGTGTTTATTTCGGTGTGTTCACTGCTCGCAGAGAGGACCGGCCATCCACTGCTGGCCGCAGGTCCACTAGGCTTGGAGGGTGCAGAAAGGACCATGCCACAGTCGTTGAATGGGAAGTCAGGAAAAAAACCACCGGTTTGTAGAACACAAGCCTCTACTTGCCCGGGCTGAATGGACACCTTTCAAACCCTGAGCAGGGTTAATTTTGCGAATGGAAGTGCAGCGACACGTACAGTGCAACTTGTACATATATATGTACCATATGTACTTTGGCTCAAGGATCAAGCGACTAGAAAAGGTGCGATTTCCGTTCCGACGCTACGCCGCTTATGGACCGTCAGTGATAGCTTCAAACTTCGCTGATTAAGATCCACTCGCAGGTTATCAGCCGTACGCGCTCTTTATAGCCGTACGAGCTACACGAGACCAAGAACAAGACTAGTCATTACAGAAACCTGCAATGTCAAGCTCAGGAGGAAATGGAAGCGAACCCTATTCATTCGCTGCTCCTGGTGGTCCCAACACCATTTCGTCACCAGACTCTAACAATGGGTACTGATTCATCAGCAAATGCTGACGTTATCACTATGCCTACTGGATCACAAATCTCGGAAAGATCCGTGCCACCGGCTCGGAATCTGACCGATCTTGCACCCGTAGGACCAAGAAGATCGATGAGAGCTACAACAAGATCTACATCGCCTATAACGTCTACCGCGAGATCCCCAAGAAGGAGTATAGAGAAGAGACGTGACGATGATAGAGGAACAAAAGAGCAAAGAAGAGAGATTCAGCTGGGTGAGGAATTGAGATCGGCGAGAAACGCATACAATTTTCTTCATGAAGAATATGAATGCATCCAAGCCGGATACTCACGACTACACCACGAGGCTGAAGTGGAGTTCAGGCAAATGTCTGACTACAACAGGAAGATGCAGGAACATCTACAAGAGATGACACAGGAAGATGAAGGAGCGACAATAAGAATTGAAGAGCTCGAACACAAGCTACGCTTGGCGGAATCGACAGCTGAACATATCTACATGAGATATCAAGAGCTTGCACAAGAAACTCATCAAGAACATTCAGAGCTTGAATCTGTGAAAGCAACGAAGGACAGAATGTCCCAAGAGCTTCAAGCAGCAATTGGACACATCCAAGAACAGAATGAATCTTCATTGGCGATCAATAGAAGATCAAAAGCCATTCAGGATGAGAACACAGCCTTCGTCGGAATAGCTGACCAGATACAAGCTAGAATGATTGCGCTACAGGATGAGAATGTCAACATGCACGAGGTGATCCAACACCAGAGAGAAGAACAATGGAACAGTGAGGTCAGGGAAAGACGTCTTCAACACAGTGTTCACTCATCTCAAGATCAGAGCAATCAGGAAGCTATGGTTATTGATCATCTACGAGGTCAACTAGCTATGGCACGTGGAGCTGAACTCAACGCGAGAGCGGAGATAGGAGAGATGGAAGTGGGCATGAGGATGGAGATGTTTGTATGCCAGACTGAAGTCTCTGCTAAAGAAATGGCAGAAATGAAGGCGAGCCACCATGAATACGAAGCAAACGTCGCAAAGGAGGTTATCGCAAAAGGAGAAATATTCAACAACGAAGTCATAGAAAGATCCATCCGTGAACGACAACAGTTGAAAGACGCCAACCTCGCTCTATCCGAAGCCAACGCACAGCTGAAAAGAGAGAATATGATGAGAGCTCCTATGTTCGGCGATGATGGTGCTGAAATTCAACAGAAGATCAGAGAACTGGAGAATGCACTATTGGAAAGCCAGAAGGAGACAAAGAATGTCATTATGGAAAATGCGAAATTAAAAGCAGAAGCACGAATGGCACCCATAGTCTCTCGGTACAGCAAGCGTCCTAGTTCCAGAGACCGCGGGTTACCAACCCACGCGTCCGAGGAAGATGAGATTCGGAACGCAAAAGAGGAGGCGAAGCACTACAAGGACGGGTACAATGAAATGACAGAGAGCCGAGATGAGATGTATGAATGGTATGCCGAAACCCACAATGAGTACGCCGAGGAAAGGGAGAAATCAATTGAGCTATCCGAGGCGAACAAATCATTGAGGGACAAGATTTCAGAAGCAGAAGCATCCTCTTCATCTCATCTTGCACCGGCAACCTCTACAATCATGAAAGTATCGAGGAAGGAAGAATCAAAGATAAACGTTCCGTCATGGCCCAGGATCAATGATCTTGGACTATGGAAGGCAAATCTCATTCAATCGATCATCATTGCGGCCAATGATTCAGATCAAGAGCCCTGGATCGACTGGATCAAAGAAGCCATGGACGATCCTGATCCGGACAAGTTTGTCGACTCAGGAGACCAAAGATTCCATTCAATCGATGCCAAACTCGGCCTAGCTCTTACCAAGGTCGTCATGGATGCGAAAGATGATGGTTCAGGTGTAGCTATGAAGTTGAGGACGAGGATCAATGCAAAAGGGAGAACATCAAGCCTCACAAAGGGAAGAGAGGTCCTAGCCCTGATCCTTATGAATTTCAAGACAACATCAAATGTGGAAGTCTTATATACTTCAATGCACCTCTACCAACTAGAGTATCAAGGAGACAAGAACTTATCGTTGTTCTTCCACACTTGGTTGGGATGAGATTCTGGCAGGAATGAAGCCCGTTGACGTCCCGAGCGACGAAACTCTTCGGGATCTCCTATGGAGAAAGATCAGGAACTCAAACCTCATGGCATACGACATCAGCGCCTACAACAGCATGAATGACGATGATGCCAAGAAGACATACAAACATCTACGTGATATGATCAGAAGGCACATCGAACGGCAAACTGAAGACAGGATGATCCTGGAAAAGGAGAAGGCAGTGAAGAATGTGGCCAATATCTTTCAGAATCTCAAACCAGGCGGACCTGCTCCAAAACTGAAAGCTGCGCCAGCTGATCCGAAGAAGAAACCAAAAGGGCAACAAGAACAGGTTGTCTCAGAAGACGCTGCTGCAGTGAAGCCAAAACCCAATCCCAAGAAGCATCCTGAAGACAAGAACAAAAAGGGAAAGGGGAAAGGTAAAGGTGATGGAAAGGATCGCAGCCGAAGTCCGAGTACAGACAAGAAGAAGATACCATGCAAATTCTTCGTGAAAGGTAACTGCACTATGGGGAAAGATTGCCCATTCAGTCACAAGAAACCCAGATCACCATCCAGAGGATCTTCTGTCGGAAAGAATGACAAGCCAGTATGTTGGATGTGGATTCGAGGAACTTGTGACAAAGGGAAGGATTGCAAGTTCTACCATGACCCAAAAGCCTCTCCTAAGAAAGGGATATCTGCACCAGCTGACTCAGGAGACGATAGGCCAAAGCCCAAGGCAAAACCCAAACCGAAGCCTAAGGCGAAGCCTGGAGCCCCAGCCATTGACGGTGAACTCTTCATGGACGAATCCGAAGATGAAGGGATTGCTGCATCCGCCAAGGCAAGAGAAGGAGGTGCAAAAGTATCCTTTGATGAAGAGACTTGCGAGATCATGTTGAACGAAGCGATCTACTCAGTCAGGGACAAATGGAAGGTAGTAGAAAGGAAACCTCTACGTCCAGACATCAAACGATACGATGAGAAAGAGCTCACCTGCTACACGAGGAAAGAACAAATCAGATTTGAAGAAAAGGTCGCAGAGGCAAGAGGCATATTGATGGTCCCCTACACTGAGATCAAGAGGGTCCGAATACCAGTTGGACCAAAGGGTGACCTAGCGGTCACTATGTCTTTTGACGAAGATGACGGCCTAGTTTTCCATCATAAAGTCATTCCTCATGTATGCGAGGGAAAGAAAGATCATGCAGACACAAAGACATTGTCTATTCCAGCCAAAGGGTCAAGAACAAAGTTCATCATGGACACAGGATGTGGGTATGATTTGATATCGAAAGGCAGAGCCAAGAAACTAGGTCTGGAAGTGAGAGAAAGCGACCAATCAATGTCATTCTATACCGCAAATGGAGTGACATCCACAAAGGGAGTCGCCGACATTCATTTCGACGAATTTGACTCTACCTACTCCCCATTCGTCCTAGATGAGTCTCCTTCAGTACTGTCTGTTGGAAAGAAATGCATGGAGGAAGGATACACATTCATATGGCCAGCCTGCGGCAACCCGTACATGGTTTCCCCGAATTACAAGAAAATCATGTTAGAAGTAGAGGGAAACATCCCATATATTGTCAAGGGCAGTGACTTCTGTACTCCCACCGACGATACAAGGGCGGAGATGATCGCAAGGTTCACCCTAGGAGAAGATGAAGCTGATTACCAATCGACTTTCATCAACTGTGATGTGGATCCTCAAGGAATCATGTGTGATGATGACGACCTTCCTGTGATTGAGCCTCCAAAAGTCAAAAGGCGAAAGAGGAATAAGAAGTTCAAGGCATCTCCTGGAGAAGAAGATGAGGTAGGATCAGATGTCGCCGGAGACAGTGAACCAGAAGCTGACGATGATGATGCAGATGACATCGAGGTGGATGTTGTTGACGGTGCAAGTAGAATGGTGAGAAGAGGAACTCTGAAAGCAGATGCCAGGAAAATCGAGCATCTACTCACACATCGTTACAAGAATCCCTACTG